AAGTTATATTCTTATCGTGGATCTACAAATTTTTCATATTTACTTTGCCTAATCTATAAATCTTGCGAATATTCGTACGAGCATAACGAAGCATTCGCAGAGTAAATAGATTACTTATTGGTCATTTTTTATGAAATTTTTGTTATCTTTGAAATACCGTTATTCATCAAATGAAAGAAGTTTTTCTCACTTTTTATTCTCTTTACAATTCTCGATTGTTATTCTTCGCCTCTGTCATTGCTTATTCATAACTATTAATTTTATTTAATTTATTTAATTTTTCTCAATTCAGCTAAGGTTAATTTTTATTTATTTTTTAAATCCGTCGAATAATCTTCGTTATTTTTTTGATTATTCGAAGAGATCGATTCGTCGGCCGACTTTCGCGCGATTCACCTAAGTGCCACCTAAATCCTACGGCGGCAAGTAATATATACAAAAAGGAGACCAAAAAAATAAATATATATATGTATATTTATATATATAGATGTGGAGATTACTTCCTTTTTTCTTTCCCTCGTGATCATTTTTCTATTCTGGTATGTTCTCTTTTGCATTACGTCATTCATCTCCTAAAAACGCTAATTTTTGCATTTTTTTTTCTTTTTTTCTTTATCAAAGTACTGTTTTGTGTTGTGTGTGCGTGTGTGCGTGTTCTTGTGTCACTGTGTGTGTTTGTGTTTGTGTTTGTGTGTGTGTGCGTGTGCGTGCGTGTGTGTGATGGTTTATATATATATATATATATAATTCTTGTCCTTATTTTCGCTCTATGGAGCTTTTTCGACGGTAAAACCAGCTTTTCGACTTTTAATCGCGATTTCTCGGCTACATAATTCTCCACGTAATGTTTTCCATCGTTCACCTCATTCCCATCGAATTTTCTATCTATTTTTCCTATATCACCTACATTTTATGTGTTTATTTCTTTCATTTTGCGTGTTTTATTAAAAAAAAATAAAGTATCATAATAAATTCGAAAAATCGATATAAAAATAAAAAAACTGTCTCACCGCCGAGACTGTCTATTCTTAAAAATATTCGGATTACAATTATGTACGATTATTTCTGTTTTGTCAAGAAAAATTTTCAAACGCTTGTTACTGTTTTTTTATTTATTATTATTATTATTATTAATTATTATATTTATAATTAATCACTCGAACGGTCGATCAATCGAGCAATCAATCAATCAATCAATCAATCAATTTATTTATTTATTTACTCATTATTATTATTTTTATTATTCTTACTATTATTACTATTATTATTATTATTATTATTATTATTATTATTATTATTCTGCGTGAAACTGTGTAGGTACTTCAGGTATTTTTATATACTCAAGTACGTTTTGCGTATGTCTGCTGTTTTTTGTGTTCGGTGTGTGCATTTAGATTAAAAATGTCGATTCGCGGGAAGATGCGCGAAACAATTTCTCCGTTTGGTTTTTCATGCATATACATTTAGTTATATATATTTAAATAATTTTGAAAAACGCACTCAAAATTTAATTACTAGTAGTAAAACATTATTATATATAATAATAATAATAATACATACGACTACTAGCAATACATGAGTAGCACGTTGTCTTGTATAATTATATAAATATAAATATGTATGTTATTAAAAAATCATTATTTCATTTTCACGCATTTGGTGTCTACGATATACATAATTACATTACGGAAAAAAAAACAAAACGAGAATATCGTCGCTCGTCGTCTATTTGTATTTTCTATACGTGTGTATTGAGCTACTCCGTAAGTAATATTTGTTTTTCATTCCCTTATCATTCTCTAGCATTTTCATTTCAATACTTCTGTCAAATTCAACTACAGGATTTCATCAATGCTACACCTACACCTAATCCCTCCTTTAATTGATTATATACAATGAAATAAAAAGTCCTGATCAAATGTGTTTATTATGTATTTCATTAGATTTTCAGGGATGAAAGTTTTATTCTCCTCATAATTGTAAAATAAATTTAAGTGATATTTAGCGCTGCCGGCGCGCGGGCAGTAACAGCAATGTTTTTGGGACTTTCTTTCGAATTTCATTTTCCTAGGTTATTTACATTTGAGGGTGTGAATTTTCTACCTCTGTCGTTCGCTTTCCCTTCCCTTCTCTCGTTACCACTCCGACTATATCGCGAAACATTTTAATTCCTATTTTCAATTTAATGATTTTGCTGATTCAGTAATTTAATATTATTAATTACTTAAATTTTCGACTCGTTATTTAAAAATAGTATATACATTTTTCTTTCGTGCAGGTAGGATTATAGACTTGCTTGTTACATAACCTTTTAAATATTAATAAACTTTTTTATAAAATGGTCCGTATAAATCAAATTTCGCCATTTTCAGAGCAAAGCTGCGTATGCCTAGCATACTTATATTTATTTATTAATATAATTGTGTTAACTTTCATGAATATAATGAATATAAAACACCAAAATATTTTATTTTACATGAATAAATATTCAAAATATAAAAAAGCTGGAAGTTCTTTTGAATATTTAACATTGTACAAAGAATCTTCAAGAATATCACCTATAAAGTGGCTACCGATGAAAGAATGAAACGCGTTCTCGATTAACGAATTATTTTAATTCGAGGTTCCAGACAAAATGGTGTTATAAATTTAATCTAAAACAAACGAAATGAAAAAGAGAGAGAAAAAAAGGAGAGAAAATCATTAATAAATGACGTATTAAAATAAGTTGATATAATTTTATCAATGTAAGCATATTTTAATATTAAAATCATCTTTACTGATAAATTGATGTGCATGGTTAATATGAATTATCATTTAGTTAAAAATTTAAATCATTTATTTAGTACCTCGAGCTTAATAAATAATAATGTACAATAGAAGCAACATTGAATTATAAATAAATATCGCACGTACAACTTTAAAGTATATAAAGACTATAATATAAATCAGAAGGTACAAAACAAGCAAAATCAATTCATTTTATTTTTCTTTGCGCAGTAAGTCTGATTACGAAGTACACGTTAATTTATGAAGATTACCGTTTTGTTGTCTTCCCTATTCTCGTGTATGGAAATAAAAATTGAGTTAATAGAGTAAATGCTTAAACATTATATTTTTGGTATAATAATGTACATAGAAAAAATTGCATTAGTCGAAAGAATCGATCATGAATTGATTAAGAAAAATTTTCTAAATATACTCTTTGGCTATTATACCCATTTTAATCTTTTTTTTTTTTTTTTTTTTTATATATATATATTTCTTTTTTTTTTTTTTTTTTAATCGAAAACGTCAATGTAGAAAAAAGAATACAAATATTTCCAAAATTTTACTAGTACTGTCATTTTATTTGGCATGAAAACAGTAAAAAAAAAAAAAAAAAAAACGAGTCTCAAAATTAATAATAAGGCATTTGATTATTAAATAAGTAAACCAAAATACAAAGAACTTCCATTGAAAAGGAATTTGTTACTACTGTAAATATACAAAAATAGTTTGATGTCATTGAATTAATGAATCAGCAAAAAAGCAAAAAAAGAAAAATAAATCATAAAAATTTGTTAAACGTTCTAAGAGAATAGTTACATAATTATATATAATTCGAGCTAACAATTTTAAATATATATATATATATATATATACATATATATATATACATATATATATATATACACATATATAATTATATAAGCTTGAAACCTAATAAATATCTATAAAGAACCATTTATTTTTATTTTGAGACCATAAAAGCTTGTGAATCGTCAAAAGGTAAAAAACAAAAACAAGAATTTCATAACTTCGCAATAGGTGAGCATCAATCATGAAGCGTGTCAAATATACGCGTCTTAAACGTCACATTATTTATCCTAAACTTTGTCCCACCATCGTCGATTCAGAAAAGCTTATATGCATGCATTATAATCTATAACGATGCCTACTTTGTATGTGTATATCAATGGATGTGTCGTGTGTATTTGTTATTTTTTTTTTTTCGTTTTTCAATCATTCACTAAACGTAGTTAATAAAGATCCTTATGTGCTAATAAAAATCGTGATACAGAGAAAATTGATTTTCCTAAACACACAGCGGTAAAGCATAAAGTTTCCATTTTGTCGATTACTTTTTTAGTATTC